CTTGTGTGTAAGTGTTTGGATATTTCTGAAATTGTACTACAAGGTTCCATATCACAAAGGGAAAGCTGGAATTGAGTTTGGGGGTAATTGCCCGAAACGTTTAGGAATTGGGGGCCAAAAATAAGCATTTTTCTAGTTTCCAGACAATAACTTGTGTTCAAGTGTATGGATCTCTCTGAAATTGTACTGCAAGGTACCATACCACAAAGGGAAGGCTGGGATTGAGTTTGGGGGTGATGAATCGTAAGGGGGTTCAAAAAATTTGGGGGGGGGGGATTCTTTTTTTTTCTTTTTTTTTCTTTTTTTCCTTTTTTTTTTTCTTTTAAAATTTTCCATTTTAAGTTGTTATTTCTGATTAATATTTAAAAGCAAATAATAATGATATGGTAGGAGATACACACCAAACAGGATGTGTAAATTATTATATAATAAGTATTGTGCAATAGCAAGAAATTTTCAATTGCACAGTATTGCACAATAGCAAGAAATCCTCAATTGCACAGTATTGCGCAATAACAAGAAATCTTCAATTGCACAGTATTGCGCAATAGCAAGAAATATCCAATAGCACAATATTGCGCAATAGCAAGAAATTGTCAATTGTACAGTATTGCACAATAGCAAGAAATATTCAATTGCACAGTATTGTGCAAAAGAAGATACTTCGTATAAATTGCTTATTTCTTGATCAATTTCAATGGGGTTTTATTCTTGAATTCTTGGGGTTCTTTAATATGCTGAATCTAATCGTGTATTAAGTTTTTGGATTTTGGGCCCCGTTTTTAAATTGGTCCACATTGAGGTCCAAAGGGTCCAAAATTTAACTTTGTTTGATTTCATCAAAAATTTAATTATTGGGGTTCTTTGATATGCCGAATCTAACCGTGTATTTAGATTCTTAATTTTTGGTTCCGTTTTCAAATTGGTCTACATTAAGGTCCAAAGGGTCCAAAATTAAACTTAGTTTGATTTTAACAAAAATTTAATTTTTAGGGTTCTTTGATATGCTGAATCTAAACATGTATTTAGATTTTTGATTATGGGCCCAGTTTTCAAGTTGGTCCAAATCGGGGTCCAAAATTAAACTTTGTTTGATTTCAACAAAAATTGAATATATGGGGTTCTTTGATATGCTGAATCTAACCATGCATTTAGATTTTTGGTCCCCGTTATCAACTTTGTCCACATTGAGGTCATAAGGGTCCAAAATTAAACTTTGTTTGATTTCATCAAAAATTGAATTCTTGGGGTTCTTTGATATACTGAATCTAACCATGTATTTAGATTTTGGATATTGGACCATAATAGGTGAATGTCCAATTTAAAATTTTTAAGTTCTTAGACCACATTCATTCTGTGTCAGAAACCTATGCTGTGTCAAATATTTAATCACAATCCAAATTCAGAGCTGTATCAAGCTTGAATATTGTGTCCATACTTGCCCCAACTGTTCAGGGATCGACCTCTGCGGTCGTATCAAGCTGCGCCCTGCGGAGCATTTTATTAATATTTGAACTTTATTTATTTGTAAAACCTATACTGGTAATTGTGACAAAAATGATCAGCAATACAAGATCTACAAAAATTTCTATGTTACTAGAGCCTTAAATAAGTTATTGCTATTTGATAACATACAAACTTTTTTTTTTGACAAATTTTATGATTTTTGCCTTTCAGTGTTTACTTTATAATACATAGACAGAAGCTCCTAACAACAATGTCAGATCAGCAAGACAAAGTGTGCCCAAAATGCCAATGTCTGAAATGCAAAATTAACCTTTTGTAGAAGTTGTTGTCGTGAAATGACAATTTTTACATTTTTGTCTATAATCTTTAAAACTAAGAGATACACAAAAATGCCAACAGCAATACAAGATCTAACAAGAAGGATGTTTTAATGTCTGAAACACTTTATTATCAAATTCTGACAAGAGTTGTAGCCCTTTAAATGACAGTTTAACAAATAGCATGTTTGCTTTTTAATTTGAAAACTTGTAGAATTACAGAAACTTTAAAACAGCGATATAAGATCTATAAAACTTAATGGAAAAATTGGTAAATAATTTGTTTGGTGCAGGTTATTGTGTTCATATCCATATGGCACATACAAGATTAAAGGTATAGGCTCCCTTGAGACAGTTTTCTGACTCCTGTTAAAAATACTGTACATTTCTGGCAGTTGATGTTCATGCATGGTAGTACAATAAAGTTGTATTTCAAAAGCCATTTATGAATCCCTAGTTTTCATAATTTTTTTAGTGTCCGACCATGCAGGGTTCAGGTAATTTCTGTCCATCTTTTCATTTAAGCTATTTGGATCAAGACATTTTGTCTGTGTTTGTTGTTTACTGTAAATTCTGAAATTTTTGCAAGGTTTTTATTATTGCAAGTCTTGCAACTGAATAGGTTTCTCAAAAATAAAAACTTGCATTTTAAATTTTCATAGCATTATTTTAGCATTTTATGAAATCTCGTTTATTAATTTCACAATTTTATCCATTGTTAAACAATCCCAACAATCAATGCACACACACATTTCTGAATTTACAATTGTTTTACACACTGCATTTTAAACAGTTAAATCCCGGAGAAGTTCTTTCAAATTAGATCTCTGGCCTGTGAGAGTTGCAATCATTTGGCGTCCATGTCATCGTAATCCTTTTCAAAAAATCTTTCCTAAAGCCACTGCACCAAATTCTACTTGGACAATGCCCTTGAATAACAATTTTTTTCTTGTTATACCTATTATTATTGTGAAAACTAAAGTAGATTGATTGATTGATGTTTTAACGTCACTTTCATCACTTATGACTATACTGTGTTGGTAAGTTTTTAATGGTAGAGGAAGCCTGAGTACCCAAACAAAACCACTGACCTTATGTAGGAAAACTTACAATCCTAGTCAATATGTTTCAAGTCAGATGCACCTGCCCAGTGCAGGATTGAACTCAAAACCTCAGTGTCGACAGGCTAGTGATACAGTAGATGGAGAGAAACTGTTGACAGCAAACCTAAACCTACAAATAGGTCAACTTGACCGAAATTGTTAGTTGACTCCTCATAGGAATTATTGCACTTAATGACAATTTTGACCTCTATATTGCATTTTTGACAATAATGGATGGTGAGAAGCTAAAAGCAGAAAAAATATCAACAGGATAAGTTCTACAAAATGAATGGTTAATTGACCCTTGTATGAAGAATAGAACTTAATAAAGATATTTACCTATTTATTAGGTTTTTGACAATTTACTTGAAACGGTTCTAGACCATGCAGATAGAAAGAAGCTTCTGATAAACATGATTAGATCTTTAGATAAGTAAACACAACTGAAACTGTCAATGACTCATTATTGAAATTATTGCCTTTCAATGATGATTTTTACCCTGTTTGCATTTTTATTTTTTAAATATAATGAGAGAGAAACAATCAACAGCAAAAATTATCAACAATTACAATACATATACAAATTAATCGACTCGTTGCAAGACGATTTCTTAAACAGTGGAAATTGTACAATACGAGATCTACAAACAAAGGAACATGAAAGAAATTATTTATTGACCAACTTCCTTATAGGACCTGATATAACATTTTTTACATTTGTGAAACTTTAATTGATTGAAGGAAAATAATGATCAAATCTACTAATAGGTAAACATATCAGATTTCAATGAAAGTGAAAAAAATATCAAAAGGCATGGTTTCATTTATTTAGAAATCGCTATCACTTAAAACTCGATCAAATTTATAATTAATGGACAAATTATGATTCCTTATCATGGATTAAATTCAGCGATCGATCGCAAGTTACATAAATTTGATATAAGGAATTCCATTGATTTTTGTAGTTCAAGATCATGGATAAAATTTGTCATCACAGATTTTTATAATCGAGATAGCAGATTAAATTCATCACCACGCGTTTGAGAAATTGTGATCATAAAATTTTTGAATTTATAACCACAGGTTTAATTTGTATTATAGATTATTAATTATTTTTTCTAATGAAATTTACGATTATTTCAACTTATCATAATTGCATTGTGCACCTTCTATTTTAATTTTCATGCAAATGATTCTTCTTGTTACCCAAAAGATATAAACAATTTTGTTTTAAAAGGATATGTCACCATGCTAATATGGACCTATTTTTATTTTATCATTTTATTTATAATTTGGATTGTTTTACCAATTAAGAAATTTACATTTCAAGACAAATTATGCTTTATTATCTTAATTTGTTAAGTTACTGTAATTAATATGAGAGACTACTCCTTAATTCATTCTGAAAGTGTGAATAATAATGTTAAGAGAAAATGTAAGATTGAAATTATATGAGTAATAATAATTATCTTTTATATTAATTAATGCGAAAGCTGTCACTTATAGCTAAAGGTTATGAAATGTCATTTTGATTAGAGTATTGCTTCAAAGTTGTCATGTTAATTAAGTATTGCCTATGTCTAGTATAAATATTGGTTGTAAACTTTGTTGAAAATAGAACCCACATACAGAGTAGGATAGTAACACAAGTAGAATTGAACTATTACAGTAAGAGTCCTATACTATTGTATCAACATTAACCATTGTATGAATATTTGGCTTGGAATTAAATGACAAATGGGAATGCCTTGGATAATCTTTAACTGCAAGAAATAGTTCTTGTCATTGGTGTCTTTTAGACTGAAATGTGTTTATGATTTTACAAATAAAATCATGAACCCGTAACATTAAGGGAGCCAACCTAGTACCACAGCCCTTTGTTACAGATATTTTAGATTTTGGTAATACAGCATCTATGATTTGTCAGATGTCTAGGTGTCAGATAATGTGCTGTCAAGTAAATAGTGCTCTTTTCCTAAACAAAATATCTAGAAGAAATTGAAGATGAATGATTCAAACCAGTCCGAGTAAAGGTTGCAGTAGGAGTGCTTAAAAATATTTGAATATTCAGAGTTGCCATTTCTTACATATAAACAAATCTTTTTATTTTCAGAAATATTTCAAATCAATATTAAATCAAGATGGGAAGGAAAGACGGAAAGCCACGTGGACGTATGTCATCTTATGCCTTCTTTGTGCAGAGTTTTAGAGAGGAACACAAGAAAAAAAATCCAACAGAAAAAGTTGTGTTTGCCGAATTCACCAAAAAGTGTGCAGAAAAATGGAGGGTAATATTTTTAATTGCATAACTTTGTGAAATTATCTAAAAACTTAACCTGTCCTTCTTATTATATTGCCGCTTGGACCAATGGAGATATATTTTAGTAGTGTTTCTTTTTCTGGATTTTGTTATACAATTAACAACCTTGTCCAGGCTGCCCATACATTTTTAATCTCTTGACACTGGCTTATGATATTTGGCATGAATGATGTTACCATAAATCTAGAAGGTGTGAAATAATTCATTCTTTTTTTTTTTTTTTTTTTTTTTTAAATTTTCTTGTCATTTGACTTATTTTATACTTTGAGTCTGACATAGGCCTTTGAAATTTGGCACATGGTTGCAGAACTTCAAGACGATGTGTTGCATACTATGAAAGATCACCAATGACTTTGACCTTCGAGGTCAAATAATTATACCCCTGAGTAAAGTTGGAGAATACTAGTCTGTCTGTTCGTCCCATTAAATTTGTGTCCAACTACAAATAAAAGCTTCAAGAAATTTCCTATTATTATTTTTTTTTATGTAAGAATACTTTATTCTGGTTTTGTTTTGTAGGAAATAAGTGCCAAGGAAAAGAGGAAATATGAAGAAATGGCAGAGAAAGACAAAGCTAGATATGAGGGAGAAATGCAAAATTACGAACCAGGGCCAGGAGAGAAGGTTGGAAGAAAGAAGAGAGATAAAGATCCTAATGCACCAAAGAGAGCTCTGTAAGATGAACACATATTTCCACATTTATTGAATCCATTGTTACCTCCCTTTTTTATTGCAAATATTTTGGTTTTTTTTTTATGGGCATTAAGTGTTACCCTTGAGTGTCCTTCCATCCAGCCCATTTTTTTTTCCTCATGCAAATTTTATGAAACTCATACATGATGCTTAGAACCAAAACTAGCAGACAGAGTTCGCATTTGGGCAGTTAGTCACTTACGGTTTTACAGTTATGCCTCTTTTTAACTTCGAAAATTGCAAAGCTTGAGTGGGGGGCATTCGTGTCCTGGGACACATTCTTCTTTTATTTCATTATGAAATGGTAATGTTTATAACATGGAAAATAGTCCAATCCATCTGCATTAATAGTATATGTAGGATTAGAAAAAAATTATTTATTTCATAAAAAAAGGACAGAATTAACAGTATCAGTTGGATGTTTACAAAGATAAGGAAATATGAAATACTGAATTACTTGCTGAACAAAACACATCGTTGCAGTTGTATGCATTACTCACCCCTTTGCCATTATTTTTATTGTCGAGTAGTTATCTTTTTACATAACTTTTATAAGTATACTTATAATTTAATGATTCTTTTTTCTGAAATGGATGTTTTTCGGTTGGGGTCGATTAATTCTTTCATAAATATCTAGAGTAAAATGTGTTCCACAAACATAATATGATTTCAACTATTGAATCAGTATTTCAAACCTTTTTATACGACCGCAAAAATTAAAAAATTTTTGGTCATATATTGGTATCACATTGTGTTGTTGTCGTCGTCGTCCGAAGACAGATGGTTTCCGGATAATAACTTTAGTATAAGTATATAGAAATCAATAAAATTTAAACACAAGGTTAACAACCACTAAAGGAAGGTTGGGATTGATTTTGGGGGTTATGGTCCCAACTGTTTAGGAATTAGGGGCCCAAATAAGCATTTTTGTAGTTTCCAGACAATAACTTGTGTTAAAGTGTATGAATCTCTCTGAAATTAAACCACAAGTTTCCATACTACAAAGGGATGGTTAGGATTGACTTTGGGGGGTTATGGCTCATACCATTTAGGAATTAGGGGCTAAAAAAGGGGGAAAACAAGGGTTTTTCTGGTTAAAAGGACAATTGAGACAATTTAAAAGCAGTATAAGGGAGGTAATCCAAATCAATTTAAATAACAAAATTTGATTACCTTCCTTACACTGCTTGTAAATTAAGTATTAAGAAATGTCTGAGATACTGACCATAACTTGATGGAAAGAATTATTATTTGGAATAAAGGAAAGGGGGTAGGTGAAAAAAATTGGAGGGGGACAATTTTTCTCATTTCAGATTTCAGAAATTAAAAGAAAATTTCTACAAATATTTTTTTTTGGGGGGGTTAATATTCAAAAGCATAGTGTATTGCACAAACGCAAAAAAAAACAGGGTAAAATTTTTTCTGGGGGGGGGGGGGGGGGGGGTCAATTCGCATAGTGTATTGCACAAAAGCAAAAAATTGAATATAAATTCAAATCATATAACCAATTTGAAGTTCTTTGACTACAGTTATTCTGTGTCAGAAACCTATTATGTGTCAAAAATTTAATTACAATCCAAATTCAGACCTGTATCAAGTGTGAATATTGTGTCCATTTTGGCCCCAACTTTTCAGGGTTGGACATCTGCGGTCGTATCCAGCTGTGCTCAGTGAAGCAATTTCTTTTATATTTTGAAGATTTTTTCCTTTAGAAATTTGTTGTTCTTAAAGCTCTTACACACAAGGGTTGATTTATGTGCATTTTATTAGAAGTGATGTTGAAATATACTTCAATTAATAAAGATTTCGAAACAACCGAGTTTGACTTGTCATAGTTGGAAATGCATTGAACAAACAGGAGTTTTACCAGATCTGACAAAATATCCCAGTTGACACAATGAGTTGTCACAGTATCTCCTTTGTCTGTGTAATACTTTCATGGAAGATAAATATCAGAAATAATGGCCATGCTGTTTAGCTTGACTGTTTTATAACCATCTTCCTTTTCTAAATATTAAAGCTACTTATCCAGGTAAAAAACAAGATAAAACTGGGACTTGAAGGATTATTATATTAAATTTAAATCTACTTTAAGATTTAGTTCAAATTTTGTCATGTTTTAAATTTTTAATCATTAAAAGTACATGAATGTTTCTTGAAGTAGAACATCCTCCCAATTCATTTTAGGAATTCCAATATGATATGAATTTCATGACATGCTTTGATATTCAAATTATTTTGGTAGTAAATGAATATCATCATTAACATATAATTTCTTTTAACCATTGGCATTTATTTTCTTACAGTTCTGCATTCTTTTTCTTCTGTAACGAAGAAAGACCAAAAGTAAGGAAAGATCATGGTGATTGGTCAGTAGCACTGGTAGCCAAGGAGATGGGAAAACGATGGGAGAAAGTAACAAACAGATCAAAATATGAACAACAGGCAGCTGCAGATAAAGTCAGATATGAGCAGGTATGTTCAAATGTTGCAATTTTTATTTTACATTTATTTCTTTCATGTTTTATGCCTCAAATAGCAAAAAGGGGGATGAATTTACACTGTAAAAAAATTTGGGTCATGAATTTTAAAGTAAATTAGTGATTTGGTCCAGCTGAAAAAGATTAATAATTAGTATGTCTGAAGCAGTCAAAAGAATTCAAGACCCCTTAACATAAAATTGCCCATATTTTGAGTTAGAGCTAATGATGTTTTCTATAATTTTGATATAATTTGTCCCAAAAGTAGTACACCACACTATACAAATATTATTGAGAAAGCACAGGTGGGATTTTTTTTTATGCCCCCACCGTAGCCGAGGGGGCATTAAGTTTTACCCTTGTCCGTCTGTACGTCCGTCCGTCCCAAAGTTGGTTTCCGTTCTCTAACTTTAGATTGCCTCAACCAAATGTTATGAAACTTATACACAATGCTTATTACCACAAAATGCAGATTAAGATTGAATTTTGGTGGTGTCACTTTAACCGTTCTAGAGTTATGCCCCTTTACAAATGGCAAAAAATTGCTAAATTTTTGGTATCCGTTCTCTAATTAAAGTTTGCCTCAACCAAATGTTATGAAACTTATACACAATTGTTATTACCACAAAACTCAGATCAAGTACAAATTTGGGTAGTGTCACTATTACCATTTTTCAGTTATGTCCCTTTATTACTTAATATGATAGACAAGCGGGGGCATCATCTGTGTCCCATGGACACATTCCCCATTTATTTAAATTTCAAAGAAAAACACTGTTCTGGAGCCATCTTATGAAGGACAACATTCAGTTGGACAAATTCTTGTGAATTTTTGTTAATCATCATCTTTCCATGTGGATTCTTTATTTTATGTGAATCTTCTCTCCACAGGCAATGGCAAAATACAGGGGAGGTGGTGCATCTCCAGCAAAGAAACCTGCAGGACCCCCAGCAAAGAAACCCAAGCCAGAGAGTGAAGAAGAGGAAGATGATGACGATGAAGAAGAGGAGGATGATGAAGATGATGATGAATAAACACTGGAGATTCTGTATCATGAACAATTGGGGGGTATCCTGGATCAAGAAATGTACAATTTCCGTTATGTATAGTTGATCATTTGTATATATTGTTCATCTTAGATGATTGTATATTTATCATTGTACATAAAATCATTATTTTATTCATCCCATCTAAGGGGAAACAATGCTGTCATCTTACTTCAGAACAAAATTTAAATAGTTTTCATGGTATTGTAAATTATTTATACATTTTCATGATGAATTTAATATTTACCTGTGTACAATTTTTTAAGTTTCATCTGCTTCACAGACTTGCAAGCTAACAGCTACAACATTTTCTTTTCACTATGAAGCAATGTAAAAGAAATGACTGAAAGTGCTGTATTTTTCATCACCATTTTTGTTTTAATCATGAAATGTCAATGAATGTCATGTTTAAATAGATTTTATAATAAAACATATTTTAACTTGCTTAATACTTTTTTAACCTGATCTGGCCCTTAGGCAATATTACTGAAAACTTTTATCAAGTCTATATAGGAGTAATTGCCATTAAATGACTGTTTCAACACATTATTGCCTATTGTTTTAAAACCTAGGTAGTTCTTTGGGTTTGATCCCAGACTTGATCAAACCAAAGCCTTACAAATTTGTATTTGCTGCTTTTCTGCTGATCACTCTCCAGGATATCAAAGGATGAATAAAGTGTCCTCTGTTACCACAGGAACTATCTTGTTGAAATCCAGCTCAACGTTTTAGTCTATTAGAAAGCAGGGCTCATATTCAAATTGCATTATAAAAATAAAGAGGTGTAGTATGATTGCCAATGAGACAACTATCCACCAAAGTTCAAATGAAGTGGATGTAAGCAATAATAGGCAACCATACAGCTTCAACAATGAGAATTACCCATACTGTATAGTTGGCTATAAAAGGCCTGACATGAAAAATATGAAACAATTCAATTGAGAAAACTAAACTACAGGCTCCTGTTATGGGACAGTCGTGTTTCTGTCCTTGCTATGGATTTCACTTGCATGTAGACTTAAAACAGCCATTCTTATATTAAATTTAAGTGGCAATAGACATCTCGCACCTTATCGGAGGTCCTAAATCTATATCAGAACTTTAACATCCAGTAATGCACTCCTAATCATGGAAAACTAATTCATGTAAGAGTTATTATTTTTGCCCTTGAATACAGATTTTTTGCATTTTTGCCAATAATCTTTAAAACCATGATGGACAGCAATAATGATAAACATTACTAAAATCATTTATCACCTCTTTGGAGTAGTTGCCCTGAAATGACTGATTTATGTATATAGTATTTTTGCCTTTCATCTTGAAAACTAAATTAGATAGACAGACACTGTAAGCAGTAAAAATGATCAGCAATCAAAGATAATTGGACAAAAAAGCTAAATTAACAACTTATAGGAGTTATTCCCCCTAAGTGAAAATTCAACTTTTCTGTCAATTGATTTTGATACAGTCAATTGTAAACAGCATGAATTATTAGTATTACAAAATGTCGATGTCACACAGTCACCATTGATGCATTATGAATTATTGCCATTTAATGACCAATTTTAAGATTTTTGCCTTTCATCTTTAACACTTTTATAAACCAGGATCAGCTGTACAGGATGTAGGGAGAATGCTAAATTAACCTATTATAGAAGTTACTACTCAGAAATGATGATTTCTGTCTCTTGCCTATAATCTTTAAATCTATAAAACATACACAGGAACTGTTAACTAGCAAAAATAATCGGCAATTAAATATCTCGACTATTATGAGTTGTTGCATTTTAATAACTATTTGGACAAATTATAGCCTTTTTGACAGACGGATACTGGTACTTTTAAACAGCTCTTTGAAGCCTGTATTTCTAAATACTGTTTATTTCAGGCAGTTGGTACCAATGCAGGATAGTGCAATATTTATGTATTTAATAATTTATTTATGAAAATATTTTTACTGATACTCCCCTTTCTTGGGAGATATCACTGTTTTGGTGCAATTCAGAGCTATGAAGAAGAGTCCATTGAAAATAGTTGAAACCTTCATATTAATAGAGGTCTGTAAGAAGTTGAAATACCTTGTTTATACAAATCTAATATCAAATACAAATTGAAGAAAATTAAAGATGTTCCAATAAAATGGATATGGGAGGATAAGAAGAGACGTCTAAAATCAGCCACAACCAACATGCTTACTATATAGAATATAGAATGGAAATTGGGAATGTGTCAGAGTTAAAAACAGCCCAATGCCACCAACAGGTCTTCAACACAGTGAGAAAATCCTGCACCAGAGGTGGGCTTCAGATGGCCCTTAAACAAGACAATTGTATCTTGCAAAAAATATTGATGATTTTTGTCTCACCTGTGACAAAAGTCACAGAATGTGAGACATAGGGATTACAATCTGGCAACTGCAACGGTGTAAACTATTTGTATAAAGCTTTATATTTCAGAGGGTATAAGCCCTGGATTCTGCATACCTTGTATGCAGATACCTTCTGGTACGAAGTTTCCAGCTGTCGTATGTGACATAATGTCCATTTTTACCTCATCTTCATGATTCCACGAATGCCGGGGAAAAAATAGTTTTTTGTCATGTGAATTTCTCACTCATTATGATTAATAGGATAACTATATTTGGTATATGGGTTCTATGCAAGACTTGCATGTCCGTCATACATGGTCCATCTGACCTCAACCTCTTTTCATGGATCCGTGGTCAAATCAATATCTCAGAGTATAAGCAATAGGTCAATTATATTTGGTATGTGGAATGATTGTATGGTGTACATGTCCGACTGGCAGGTTTCATCTGACCTTGACCTTTTGTCATGGTTCATTGGACATTGTTGAGATTTTGTTGTTTGGTCTTATTTCTTAGATACTATAAGCAATAGGGCCATTATATTTAGTGTATTGAATATTATTGTAAGGTGTACATTTCTGTCTGGCTGGTTTCATATGACCTTGACCTCATTTTAATTGTTTATGGTCAATGTTAAGTTTTCATGGATTTGTCAGTTTATCAGATACTATAAGCAATTAGTCAACAATAGTTGGTGTATAGAATAATTGTTAGGTGTACATGTCTGTCTGGCAGTGGTTCATATAACCATGACCTCATTTTCATGGTTCATTGTAAATTTAAGTTTTTGTAGTTTTATTCTTTTTCTCTGGTACTATAAGCAATATGACCATTGTATTTATTGTATGGAATGATTCTGGGGTATACATGTCTGTCTGGCATGGTTGATCTGACCTTGACCTCATTTTGATGGATCATTGATAATGTTAGGTGTATGGGATCTGATTACAGTAGTTGTCGTCCGTTTATGTAGTTCATACGTGTTTCTCTTTTCTCGTTTTTATATAGATTTACACTAGTAATTTTTTGGGGCCCTTTATTTGTTTGATTCTTGTTGCAATATATGGGGAAGTTGCTATGAAAGTGGAATAAATAAACTTAATAAGTTATTAAAGAAATCTGCTAGGGTTATAGTAGAAGCTGACATAATGACATCATCCAGTTTGTTGTTTAATAGTTCAAACTGGTTAAATGTGAAAAAACGCATTCAATATCAAAAGGCACTACTTGTATTTAAATCATTAAATGATATGGTTCCTAACTATTTACAAGAAAACTTTCATTTTATTGGTAATCAGAATTATAATTTACGTTCGGCTGATGAAAAACTATTAAATCTTCCGAAACCAAAAACAAACTTTTTAAAGAAAACATTTACATATTCAGGTTCTCAAATATGGAACAGTTTACCAAATGAAATAAAAATGAGTAATACACTTGTATCTTTTAAAACAAAATGTTACAAATTTTTCATCAATTGTGCAAATTAATATGATTTTCATTATTATCTAGATACAATTGTATATTGTGTATAATATATCATTATAACATTGTATGTACTTATAGATATGTTATTATTATTATTTTGAGGACTCTCAGGAAGATTAGTTTTAACTAATGGGATTATCCTCTTGAAATAAAGATTATTTATTTATTTATTTATTTTATTTATAGCTTGCTGTTCGGTGTGAGCCAATGCTCCGTGTTGAAGGCCGAACCTTGACCTATAATGGTTTACTTTTATAAATTGTAACTTGGATGGAGAGTTGTCTCATTGGCACTCATACCACATCTTCCTATATCTATGTGATACTTGTAATACAACCTTCATATTACAGACTTTCAACATAAATGCAATCATAAGTAAAGCAGGCTAAACATTTCAGCGTGTGTACTCTTGTTAGCAGTTTGTCTATTCTTTAAAACCATAAAAGATAAGACAGAAGTTGTAAAACAGCAAAAATGATAAGCATTATAAGGTCTACAACAATATCACACTAGCATTATTTTTAATCGATCTAAATAAAACCAGTTAGAGTTCACATTATCTTTAATCATAACGATCTCTATCGGTCTAATCTGAACCACTGCGTTCACACCACAATTAAAAATGCAATTGATCTGACCTAATTCAGTGGCGGATCCAGATGGGGGCGTAGAGGGCGTACGCCCCCCCCCCCCCCCCCTTTGTTTGCACCTTTTTTTTTCTTTTTTTTTTGTAAAATGATTAATCAGACTAGACTTCGTGAACTTTGCAATTTCCCCGCGTATTTAATTTTTATGCGACAATTCTTTACTTATAAAGATATGTTTTGCTCGTATTTACTGTAATATATTATTGATTATGTCAAAATCATGTGATTCGCTACGGTGGAGTTGACCAGTGCGTCGAAAAAAACGTCACTAAGTCATTTTGAAATTCAAATTACAGTAACACATTGCTTAGGCTGAGAATGACAAGCATGACACCTTCAAAGCGACAAAGGATTGCGCAAGAACGTATTTATTGACTTCTATTTCACAATTCCACCAAACAGAAAGTAATACTCTATTACACTCTCGTGAAAAAAAGTTCCACAGCAATATTATTTACCTACGAAAACATGTTTAACCCCACACGCCCCAGCCTATTAATAACATAGCTGAATAATGATCCCCAGTCAATAAGCTCTAGATAGATTTAAAGTCTAAGGTACGGACCATTTGTTTTGAGGGGGCAGTCTGAGATATTTGAGAGAGAAAATTCTGACCCTGATTTTTGCCTTAAACAAAAATTCTGGCCTCATCTGGATTGAAAACAATAATCTTGTCCACATTTTTGCTATTAGAAACAAAAATTTCAACAGAATTATTTAGCATTAAATAAACATGATGAATAGAAAAACGGGCGTAATTTTTTTTAGGCCGGGGGTTTGCATGTAAATCCCATATCTGACTGGAATGTCTGTTTCGTCGGACAGATAAAATTAATACTTTTTTCAAGGCCCGACTGCAACCTGCCTGCTGGGTGTGGCCTTTATGTCTCCATTTGTCGACCGTCATTCATAAATTCGTTGTCATTTCAGACTCATTCGTA